GAAAGGTTATTAAGAGCCTCTGTGATTCACCAGCCAAATAGAGTCTCTCTCTCCTTTCACGTTCACTTAGGCTCTTAAATGGCTCTGAAAGATTTCCACACAGTGCAGGTCACCACTAAATTACACCTTATTGATAAGCTGCCAAGCTCACACCTGCCATCACTTTTCATATTTAGCATTGCATAACTTGTTTGGTGAAATAATTGCTAAGATTTATTGATTATATCTATATAAAAACATCTTCCTTCTCCTCTGTTATCTTTTGACGTGTGTCCATGCCTTTGGCTTTTACACACTAGAAAAAATCTGTATGTGTTTAAGTTGGTGTGACAAAGTTGCATTATGCATTGGCTCTGAAACATAGATTTTATTCAAACAAACAATTAAAAATAGTGATATCTGCTAAAGTACAATTAAAAGCAGATTCGCACACATCCGCAAAACATTCTTTCCAATGACACATAGCCTTGAAAAACATAGTCAGTTAGAGCTATCATCGTTGTTAAACGACAAATATAATCGCTTTTATTTTCTTATATACAGTTTAGATATGATGAAGAATACGTGAAAGACGGGGGGAAAAAATAAATATGAAGGAGTAAAAAAGAATAAGTCAAAAGGAAACGCTTCGCGGTGAGAAATTAACACGACGTGAAAGTTTTCCAGAAGAAGTTCTTGCATCCGGCTTTGCGCTCGCGAGGTGCCAGCATGGGACCGGCAGCGCGCTCGAGCTCCAGACGGACGTCATCTTTCTCCACAGCGCGGGACAGATCCTCGGGCTCCAGCGCCTCGTTTTCTGCTTGCACGAGGTCCGAGAGCAAGTCTGCAAGTGTGTATCTGGCGAGCTCCTGAAGAAATTAAGAGAGAGGGGGACTTTAGTATGTTTGCATACTTGTTGCCGAAGGTGCGTTGGATAATGTGGACACTCTCAGAAAAAAGGTACAAAGCTGTCACTGGGTTGGGACCCTAGGGCAGTGAATCTCAACCTTTTGGCGTACCGGACCCCAGTCCAATTCAGAACCATCCTCAAGGACCCCCAGAACAAAATTGACTCATCTATGTATGTCTTTGTGAGGACCAAATGTAGTCAAGTATAATTCAAGTTAGTTGACCATATCATCATGGCCATATTATCAGCTATATTGGATTTTTCTTTCATGGGAACATGTCAAAATATACAAACTGTATACAAAAAGTCATACTTTATACGGACCCCCTGGCCTTACGTCAAGGACCACTAGGGGTCCACGGACCCCTGGTTGAGAAACACTGCACTAATTCATTACATTCCAACAAAAATGGTGTAGTTACACTGTAAAGGGTCCAGACTATCCAATGCAGTGAAATATTTAGTCCATAACACATTTATATGTTGATAAACATCCACGCAATGTAGTAGTAGCATTTCAAATTAGCCGACGGAGCGATCAGGTCTTTGGTGCATCCTAAATTATAGCTTGTTTTCTTTTTTCTTTTCTTTTTTATTATAGCTTGTTTTCTCATATAAACAGAACAGAATCATTGACATCAAAATGGCCGCTGACCTCTGCCCTTTTGATTGACACCTTATTTGAACCAATAGCTGTCAAGGTGTCAACAAGCAGCGATCGCCAACTAGCTTCCAGGATGAAGGATGATGCAGCCTCTCTTTGATGGACAGTAGATCGATCCAATTGCATCAGAGTTTGCAAATGACTGTCGTTTCTGATAGCCAATGAACTTCTGAAAAGATTAATATGCGGTTTTGGTGGGAGAGTTCAACATATCATGCTCAGAAGTCTGTGCGCAAAGGATTATAGGGACTTTGTGCGTCCGTGCGTAAAGAGTGCTCTGGGAGAGTTTACGGGTGAATGATGGTTTGAGGTTAAAAATACCAAAGAGAACGTGAAAAAAACAACTTGTTTGCTCTAAGTTGTTGTTGAACAATGTGTTTGGCCGGACAATAAAAGTGTTTTTAATGGAGAGAGCGATGTTTCATCCTTTGACTCAGAAGCAGAGGATCTGTTTTTGGATGGAGTTGTCACTCTCAACTAGAAAGTGTTTTATTATATTATATAATTATATATATTATACATATTTTACTGTATATATTGAGGTATGTGTTTGTTTTGAGGTGGTCCTGCTAACTTCTGTTGTGTGTGTTGCTTTTTTTTATATCACAGACAATCATCTGACATTGAATCGAGTGAAGTCTGGGAGCCAGTCAGCAAAAAAGCCATATATTGAGGGACATGATGACAGCACCTCTGAAAAAAAATCGTAAAAAACACTATATTGTGTTTATGCTTCAGTTACTATGTGTCAGCAATTATTGACAGTGAATCTGGATAAGAAATTGAATAGGTCTAAGTGTAAGCTTTCATTAGAGCCCACAATTATGACTGTACATTAAAGCATTCAAGAATTGCAGCATTTTATGTCGTTGGTTACAAAGGGTCATTTGGAGTCTCCAAGTGGCCTTTTTTGGGAAGCGCCTAGACATAAATTTAGATAAACATGTGTAAAACACTCATTTTCAAAGATATTGTTATCAAATTTGAAATTTGGCTTGGTAAGGCTTTGTTCTGTGATCCCATTGTATTGTCCAGCTAATAGCTCCCAGCTATAGTCATCTTCAGGCATCTGTTTAACATTGAATGGATTGAAGTCTGGGAGCCAGTCAGCAAAAAGCCATATATTGAGGGACATGATGACAGCACCTCTGAAAAAAAATCGTAAAAAACACTATATTGTGTTTATGCTTCAGTTACTATGTGTCAGCAATTATTGACAGTGAATCTGGATAAGAAATTGAATAGGTCTAAGTGTAAGCTTTCATTAGAGCCCACAATTATGACTGTACATTAAAGCATTCAAGAATTGCAGCATTTTATGTCGTTGGTTACAAAGGGTCATTTGGAGTCTCCAAGTGGCCTTTTTTGGGAAGCGCCTAGACATAAATTTAGATAAACATGTGTAAAACACTCATTTTCTAAGATATTGTTATCCCATTGTATTGTCCAGCTAATAGCTCCCAACTATAGTCATCTGCAGGCATCTGTTTACAAAAAAAAATGTAGGCGGATTCTTTTTCAGTGTGTTCAAAGTTCTATTACTAAATACCAATATGACTTACACACCTCAGAGTGTCACCTTTCAAAAGAGACCAAAACCATGCATATACTCCAAATGGTTCAAGAACAGCATGCGATTTACTTTGGGTATGCCTTTTTTAGGCATTTTAGGCAAATTTTACAGGAATTTTAATTAAAATAAATGTTATCAAAATAAACTGAAAATAAAACAAACTTGGCTAAAGTCAATATTTTGAAAAAGTACTTTGAACTGTTATATGATGTAAAACATTGATTTTAGCTAAAGTATTTGTATCAGTTCTGGGTGCCTTCTGCCCCATGCTGGTGAAAGCTCTGGTGTCCCCAGTTAAAGCAGAAAGAAAATCAAAACACCTCACAGAAGAATAAAGGAACTATTAAATTACACAGAGAGCTGAAAGAGAGACGTAACGGAATATTTTAGGTGATTGCACTCCATTCTGACCTGTGAGTTTGCTGTAGTGTTCCATGTCTAAGTTTTCCACATTTGCACGTAAGTCTGGAAACTCTCTAGCAGCCCACAAGGCCTCTGCAATCCTAATACAAAAAGAAAACCCATGTTCTGCTTGACAAATTAAATAATGCTAAAATACAAAATGGCAGAGAAAACTCACTTTTCTTCAATGATATAGCATATCTTGTGCTTGTAGGCCTTACGATGCAGTGTGTATCGGGTGTGAAACATGTCATAAACATTATCTGCCACCTGTGAGAGAAATAAACGATGAACTTGAACAGACTACCCCACAAAAGCTGTTTATGATTAAGAAGACAATTCACTGGTTCTATATAACATGAATAATATTATCATTGTGTTGTCTGAAATTTTATTTAATACTTATTCTTTACTGTACATTTTACAGTATAGTCACATAGAAAGCTGTTATTTTAAAGTGTAATAACATTTCACAATATTACTGTTTTTACAATTATGTTAATGTTTTGACTGGTGTACATAAAAAAAAGTACCTATTGTTATGTAGGGAATCATATACCTTGTCTCTGAAGCAGATGTGTCGTTCGCTGTCCTCTTCACCCCTGTTCACTTCACACACTCGTACAAACTCAAGCAGGCGTTCATAGTCAAAGTTGTTTGGGATGCCAAGCTTATGACAGTCTCTGCAAAATAACAGAAATGTCCACATCCATAAATTTAAATAAATAAATCAAAACATCAGTTTCAGGGGTTAAAGCAAAAAAAAAAAATATATATATATATATATTCCTCAGCCAAACCACATTCCACAGTCATACCTGTCACACACCCAGTTTAAGAGCATTTTTTCTTCTTGTAATTAGGAGCGCTTGCCCTCATAATTTAAACAATTTAGGAGCACCTTCTGATCAATAATACAAAATTCTGATCAAAAATTAGCCTTCCTAATACGAGCTGACATTTTTACTCAAAGTGATTTACAGGGGCATTTTGTAAGACCTTTGTAATGGCATTTTTTCTAATTTTATTAACTGTATGCAGTGTTTCCTCTAGGAGTTTTTTCCTAGTATGGTGGCAGGACTATTTCCCATGGACCACACCCCCTCCCCTCCTCACCCAAGAATCATGTGCACTCAGAGTTTAATTTATTTGAACTAAAAAAGACAAGTAAATAATAAAATAAGAACAAATAAATTAATGACAATCAATAGCACAAACAAAAACAATAACAAGATACAAATTAAATAAACAGTACATTAATTTTTCAGAATTTTTACAACATTGACGCTGATATTTTCCTGTTTATTAATGTGAAGCTTTACTATATTCAAATCATTATAATTATTATTTGTGGGGGGTCCATGGGCAAGTCATTTGAAGCTGAAACTATTGTGTATAAAGGTGTTTCATATAGGCCTATTGTAAGTATTTTTATAGCGATAGAGCAAGAAAGGTGTAAACAGAATCTCATTCAATCTTAGCAAGTCACACAAATGAACTACACAATCATAATAATGTTATTATTAATAAGCAGTATTAGCATTTTTAAAATGCTATTAAATTCACCGTGCAAGATAGTCCCATTTGCGGACATCAACACCGTTCAATTGATTTACCACAATCTCATACAGGAAAGGTTTGTTTCTGGCTCTCTCTTCATGCTGAAAGATTGAAAATACTTTAATAAACTTAAACATTGTATAACATAGTGTAAATTTGTAGCAATGGCAGATTACAGGAGCTTTAACCTGACTATCTGAAGCCTGCACCCCCTTGATTAGTTCCTCGATAAAGGGAAGGTCTTCTTCTGGATTCATGTGATTTCTTGTCATCTCCTCTCCCAGTCCGCTGTTGTTCACAATATGCCGAAGCATCTGAACTGAGGCATCCTCATGCTATGAGAATCAGAACAATCAGACATACATATGCAGATGAATGATTTGCTTTACATATTACATTCATATTAGGCCTAAGTATACCTAGTAGCCTAACACAGAATTTGAAAAATAATTTGTATCATGTTAAATACTGTACACCGTCAAATCCTGAGTGTTAAAGTAACACTGAAGCAATGTTAAAGTTAATGAGATAATTCTGTGATTAATTAAGTGCTGATTGATCATTAGTGATGAACAGCTGCTGTTAACAAGCAGAATCACTGAAGAAAAGAGAAACACAAGAACTACAACTGACTTCAGCCACAGCCTTAGAAGAAATCAACTGAAATAAAATATATTTTTTATATTTAAAGAATTTGCCGCTGATGATTCAAACGTGATTTTTGGGCAGTGTAGAGTAGCACTTGTTGATCGTAATTTTTCCGATCACAATTGCAGACATGGTTTTATGTTTGCGCAGCGCAACGCAACGTGTAAAAAGACAGTATAAGTTTTTATAATCCATAATTATGTCCCCACTGGATGCAACAAATGCCTCGTTTATAATGGGTTTTAATGGTTTTGTCTTGTTGCTCCAGCCGGACAGGGCATCACAGCATGAAATGATTTTATCATAAGTTCCTTGCCATCACATATGTGCTTTATAAACACAATTATAACAGCCAAAGAGAAACTTATATTAAAAATCCACTGGACATCTAGCAGAGAGAAATATAAGTAAATTAAATTAACATTAATAATTTCAAACTAATACACAAAAACATACACAAATAAATTTTTCCATCTCTACACACTGCTAAATATGTGAATTTAAAGGTACTGGAATTAATTGCACAAGTTAAGTAGAAAATTCTGACACTTACTATTGGCTCTAGGCATGAACTTGTCCTCAAACAAATGAGAGAATGGACCATGCCCTTAAAGAAACAATAATAACAGCTAACATATAATAACATATATATAATATATATATTTTTTTTTTACATGGGTGACATTTGACTCTTGAGTCAGGGGGGGCAAGAAAAAAAAAAGTATATATATATATTTTTTTCTTCTGATGTAAGCATCAAAACAATGCCCTACCGTATTGCAACGCATCAAAGCAATATTTTTTTTTTACATGGGTGACATTTGACTCTTGAGTCAGGGGGGGGGCAAGAAAAAAAAAGTATATATATATATATATTTTTTCTTCTGATGTAAGCATCAAAACAATGCCCTACCGTATTGCAACGCATCAAAGCAGTCAATCCAACACAGTCAAGAATAACTTAAAGAGGTTGCCACTGTTTAGTAAACTGTGGACTAGCTTTGGCTCTTCCTGCTGACTTGAATGGTGATGCTTCCCGTTTGTCAGTTGATGGCCTTTCATTTTTAACCAGAAATGTGCACGCTGCTTCTCTGATGTTCACTGAAGTTTTCTGTGTCTTCTTCCCATGTCACTTGACATGTTTCCGTTTTGAATCGTTGTTACCAAAGGTGAGACACGTGAGGAAAATATAACCGATCAGCTGTGGGACTATATTCTGTCATAAATCGCATACCTTCCATTGCTGAATTTCCTACCGTCCATTACTGGGAATGAAGTTAAATTACTGGTTGATATATCCTGATCTGAATAAAGTTTACACACACTTTTGGTCTGTGAATTAGATCTCGCTCGGGAAGCGCGCTGTCTGTGGAGGTTTGGCCAGGATCGGTTCCAGAATTAAATCAACTTATTTATGTTCTGTCCATTACCAATCACTGCTATTTCGAGAGTGAATCCCGCACAAGTATGTGGATGTCATTCCCAAAACTTTGCAGGGTGTCCAAAAAATGAAACTTTTATCAAAATCCGGATTGGATTATACCCTAGAAAGTGCTCCCTTTATCACTAAAAAGCATCTCTCATCTTCGTTAATCACAATCTTACAAAGTTCTGTTATAATCAACGAAGCTCTCTAAACAGCACAATGAATCTCTTATTTACATCACATCTGCACTTAGTCATGAGCAGTGGCGTAGCAAGAATTTTATTTTTGGGCGGGCCTGGGAAAAAGTGAGCGGGCACTAATGGAGGGAGTCCAGTAGTGTAGCCTATAGCACAAAACTCAACCGGGACTGGTTATGTCGCAATATTGTAAATATTTGTTTTAAACCAGGAAGGCGAGCCA